CTTTTTTCCAGGTGTATATATCATATGGTTTTTGTGAATCAATTCACTGAGCTGTCGACACACAACATTCAGCCAGAATCGAATTGCTTATGCACTGAAGTTATTATGCTCACAATTTTGTTGCATTATTGTTTTATTGTAGTATCCCTTTTTATCTATGTTCATTTAACCATTTCACGATTCACATATTCATGTGTATTAGCTATTGCAAAACACCAACACTAAACATGTTTCTGTAGATAATGAGGTACACCTACACAGAGAAGAGATATATATCTCAGATTCACTGAGATTCAGGGAAAACAAAAAGTTTACTGTTGCTGAATTGCATGGTAAACCTTAATGACAGATGCTTATCTCAGTTAGCTCAGGCAGGGTTGAGAGTTTGCGTCCCACATAAGTCAGAGGATGATATGGTGAAGTCCATATTTTCATTACGTGTAACTTTTGCAATAATTCTCAAACAATTTTTAAAGTTAGCTCTTTGTTATTTGATTCATCTTATATGAAACATGTTATCCTTTGTTTAACCACAACATATGCGTCAAGCTGCACCAACGTGCCAACTAATGGATAAACTTCCTAAAGTAATTAATAATGACAAGCTCATTACAAGTACCCCTCTTAATTTTGGACATATGACTAACTATATCTAAGCAGTATTTCGTGGTGTGAATCTACAATCCGTTGCCGGAGTTTACACTGATGTGAATCTACAACCCGTTGCCGGAGTTTACACTGGTGTGAATCTATAACCCGTTGCCGGAGTTTACACTGATGTAAATCTACAATCCGTTGCCGGAGTTTACACTGATGTAAATCTACAACCCGTTGCCGGAGTTTACACTGGTCTGAATCTATAACCCGTTGCCGGAGTTTACACTGGTGTGAATCTATAACCCGTTGCCGGAGTTTACACTGGTGTGACTAGTTTCTCCTCTGTACAGCGCACATGGACAAAAGTCAATTACCATTGCTCAACCTTTTTATGCAAGTACAGTAAAAAAATCATTTTCGCGCTTACATTTATGTGGCACCCTGAGTGCCCTTAAATCATTATATATTATAGATATCTTCTGCGCCCCTATTATTGTAGAAAGTTGTAAAATGTGGTAGATACTTTAACAAGCACTTATTTATAATTTCTGCCTCTGATTAGAAATATCAAATTATTTTTTTGAAACGTAAAAATGAAACAAATTGTATCTTCTCCTGTACGCCACCTACAGTATCAAGCTGATAGCTTCTTTTCCACAGGCATTGTTGTTACCCTTTCAAAACCATATTGTTTTATTTCGAAATTTCGTGAATCTAATCTCCAGAAAACAACAACAAAAAACTCAAAATATATTCGTGCTTGGCCGTGGCCCACGTGTTTTTCTTTATTCCTGCCGTTTTCTAAATTACATTTAGATTTAATTATCTTTACTGCTTTTAGTTTTCCTTTCATAATGTTAGATTCTTGTTTTTCCACTTTTTTTATTATCTAGCTTATTTTCCTGTTATGTTATTAATGTTTTCATTACTCATTGATTAACAAATAATTATATCCCGAATGCGACTGGTTCCATATCCAAATTCCTCCTATGAAAGAAAAATAGAAGTGTGTCGTAACGTGCAGTCAGAAAAGTGAAATGAAATATTTAAGGCTAATTTATAAGTAGGTAAAGATATATGAAGTAATTTTAAAATGAAATTATTTAGGATAAATTTAGCAGTATCTATGATCATTTTTAAAATACATTTTTGGGAGTAAATAATAGATTTTTTTTTTTTAGTTTAGATATAACCTGGGATAATTTATATTTTGTGTAAGTTGAAAATGAATAAAAGTCATTTTAGTATACTTACACGTAAGTGAGGTAAGTTTAATAAATGAAAGTTTATTTCAAGTAAAGTTAGGTTACTAAGTTTATGCTTGCCTAAAGACAATGTCATATCCGTCTTCGTAGATAACTGATAGTGTTATTAAACTTAGGTCCTGTTTTGTTCTTTTTCGCAAGATTAGCTGAGATTTGTCGCCTGATGGCACAGCGGTATGTCTACGGACATGCAACGCTAGAATCCGGGTGGGCAGAGCACAGATATCCCATTGTGTAGCTTTGTGCTTAATTACAAACAATACAATGCAATGTTTGCTTACTTGAACAACACCACATATAAGCAACAGGCTAAACTATCAAGATAGATAAAAGACATACAGTCGACAGCCTGAAGCGAACAGAGGGAATTGATTGTGATAGTTAAAAGTGAAAATCCTGTTTGGTAGCTCCTAACCGAAACCTTCACACACATCTCACTCCAATACACTAACCATTCAGTCACGCATGGGCCCATTTTAAAGTTAGGTCTGATAAAAAAAATATATTTAATTTACACTAAGTAGGTGTTACCGCCGAAATGACTTTACGTAACTGGAAATTAATTGCTCACTTAGATATTTGTAAATGGAGAAAGGTGTTACCTCATATAATAACTAACTATTATAAAAGCATAAATGTGATTTAATATCATTAAGACAATATTATTACAAAAAAGGAGCATACGCTAGCAAAATAATTTGTGCTTATTGATTATGTTGTACTTATTGACTACAGTTAATGGAATTACATATAGTAGTCAATGTTTCCATTTACCCATTCTTGTGCGTAATTTGGCGCATAGGTAAGAGCTTATACGCAACATAAAGAATTGAAAGAATTCGTATTTTATTATATTACTTTTCGCTCATCTGAAGAACAGCAACATTTGTGGCCAAGCATAATATATCTGACCGAAAATTTTTTCATTAACTGATATGCAGATAAGCCTGTATGTATAATTCAATCACCTGAGACTGCTAGTTATTAATAGGTGTAAAATTGTTGTCTTTTGAAAAAGTCTAATTTCAATTTTGAAACAAAAATAGGTAAACATGCATCCCTCAAAAAACTAGGTTTTGTTTTTACGTTTGTCTTTAAATAATTAGATGCTAGATAATATGTTTTTTCCTGGTAATTCCAGCTGGTCAATAGAAAAAATAAAAAGGTATATATACCAGCAATGAAGCATGATCAAAAATGCAATGATGTCTGCCAAGAGGAAACCAGAGTTATGTTGAGGGGAATCCTTTATCTGAATGTAATGGTAGACGACAGTTTGGATATAGTTGTCACTAACAAATTGGTCGTTTCTTTTGCAAAATCATGACAGTCAAAATAGTGTTCTGTACCAACGTAGATATTTTAGATGGTAAAGCTGAAACATTTATAATGCTACTTTGCATTTTTTCACAATATTTTGGTATTTGAATAAATAAATTCTCTGGTTTGGAGACAGATGGAGCAAATCTTATTACTGTGTGGTTAAAGGAAGACAATTCTAAAATCATACATAAGTGGTGTGTAACTTATAGACTCTCCACTTTTCCACTGGGCTGCAGATAAAAACCCCTTTATGAAATCTCTGCAAGAAACTATGGTTGGAATTTTTTATATAGTTATTCTGCACAAAGGTACAGAAAACTGGCCAAAGTAATACATGTTCATGTTAAAAGGCTTAAAAACCTACCCAACTTTGTTACCTATCAATGTTTGGAGCAGTTGATGCAGTGCACAGGGTTTTTCTGTTATGTACCTAAATCTTGAGCATACAGCTGCACGCCAGGCCTTAAGGCCAAAATACAAAGTTAAAAGTTTGTAGCAACACTTTACTTGCTAAAAGATGTGTTATTCACTGTGATGAGATTAAGCAAAATATTTTAACTTGGTGACATTGTTTCTGATCAAAATGATCATTACGCAAACCAGGAAGAAAGAACTGTTGTTAGAATTAAAAGTACAATTCTGAACAACTTGGAGACAGAATTTGAAAAGCGTTTTCTTGAAGAGGACATAGCAATGTTGAAAAATCTAAACATTTTGTTTAAGCCTAAAAGAATACCACAAGATGGTATTGACAGTGTGAATAAGGTCATATAATTTTATCAAGGAGTTACAGAGCCAGAAAAACTGAGAGCATCATTTGACCAATTCAAACATATTGCTGTGAATAACAGTTTGATGCAATGTCCCCAGGTTTTTGCGATCTTGCACAAGTAATGCTCACAGTTCCCATAACACCAGTACCATGCGAACGTGATTTCTCTGTGCTAAATAAAATCATGGGAACCCGGAGAAATAAAATGATAGTCCAGAATTCCAAAAATCTGGAAAATAAAACGATTATTCAAACAACAGATTTCAAAGTTTAGAATAATTGTGTGAGAGAGCCTGAGCTAAATGGGTGGAAAATCCTAGGTCAAAATTTAAAACGCAGTAAGTCAAACTAAATTCTCGTTACAGACTGGCAAGGGCATGGTAGTAAAATTTAAAAGATATAATAATTAATAACTGCAAGTGTTTTATCACGTGTAGCTTTGTACTTTTTTGTCAGTTTTAGATTGCAACAAGTTATATGTAATTGTTAATGTCAAGCATAATAAAGTTGTTTTACACTGAGCTAAGCTGCTTGTGTTAGTCTTAGGTCTGATGTAGTTTTGAGTTATAATGTCTGGAATACATGTATGTTTGTTCATTATAACAATTTTTAATAAATTTGATATGTAAATTCCTCTACAGTTCTAAACCTTAATAAACATTTAATGATTTTAGGTTGCAATATAAATATTCTCCTGGTGGAACAGCGGTAAGTCTACGGTGTTACAACACTAAAATCTGAGATTTGATCCCCATCAGTGGACACAACAACTAGGCCAATGTGGCTTTGCTCTAAAAAACAAAACAAAAAACCAATAACATATGATTAAAGGTATTTCTCAGGTTTTTGTGTTACTAATGCGTAATAGAATGAGATAGAAACCAGACTCAATGTCTTTGCTTATTTATTTTTAGCACAAAACTACATACACAATGAGCTCTCTCCGCATTGTCAACCGCGAGGAGTTGAGCCCCGGATTTTAGCGTTGTAAGACCGTAAATTGACAGTTGCCAAACTGGAAAGAAATCAGACTTAAGAAAATATAAGAGGTATGAAAACTTTTTATTTTATTTCGGCATCTAAATTAAACTTTCATACATATAAAAAAACTATTTGAATCTTTAAATGACAGTATTCAACAGTAAGGCAAGAGAACACATCGTAGGTTATTTAAAGGCTCCCATTCTTCCAGTCGTCGTATGCATCGTCTATACATTTCTGAAACAAATAAAATAAAATCAGAATAAAGTGGAACTTTTGTTAATAAAACAAACATGTTAATTATCTTGATTAGCTTGGATACAAGAAGCCGTATATTTATCACAAGAATTATAAACATATAACATTATTTGACTCATTAACTACGATGTATACTCACAATATACTTTTCTTGTATCCGAATAACAAAAAATAGCATAATTAAACACGGGTATCTTTATATATCGAGGAACGTTACACTTGAGTGCATGGTAATACCCTCAAGACTACATATGGACATCTTAAAATTACGTTAACAGCCCAGTTTGCTTGAGCTGTTTGGTTTAGAAGAGATTGCTGTTTATATACTTAGAAAGAGGATTATTGAAGGCCTCATTCCAGTACTTCATTTAATAAATAATCTCCAAAGTGATTAATTGTTAACATTAATGTTGCTAATGATTTGAGGAATATATTTAAATAAACATTGTTACAGGTGAGTAAAACAGTACTTGTTAAAGAATACCTAAGTTACAATATGTTAAATATTGATGTTTTTTGTTTCTTTTTAACTGAATCTGCCTGTTTATTTATAATGTAACAAATTTAATAAAGTTTTTGAATCTATTACACTTACTTCTACTTCTGCATATTCGCTGATGGTATGATCCTAGAATATTGGAAAAGTCCGTTAGTGTTAACAAATTATCTTCACATTTGTATAAAAAATATCCAATACATTTATTAGCACCAACTGATTAAAAGTCTTAGTTTTTGACAGTGTTTTAAACATCCGCTATTTTTACCTTCTTGACTTTAGAGAAACATCTACCATTTTTCGAAAGCAATGTTAAGACAAGTTATCAGAAAAAGCAACATCTGACGTTGTTTATGCTTGTAAATACATACCATCAGGACCGGGTTAAGGCTGGGACTGGTAAAGCTACAGTTCCAGGTAAAACTGGCCAACCTCGCTCAAAATGAAATAACATGCATTAGAAAATATAAACATTCTCGCATCAACAATGGGTTCAGTGTTTAAGAAATAAATCTTAAAACACCTGTGACCCAATTCATTTGTGATTAGCCTAGATTTACTATAGAAAAAACGTTACCGAGACGTACACAAAATTTCAGACGATCCTTTAAATAGAATATTATTGAGCGACTAGAACAGCACGTGACACGGAAATGACGAAATCTGTCTTGCATGCGAAAGCTATTTCACGTCTTTGTCCATTGTCTGTCAGGAGTGGGGTTCAGTGGATTTCATCGTTTATGAAATCTGATAAAATAATCATTATTCAAATTTAAAAATAATTCGTTATAGAATTTCATTACGTCATTTTCACTTTGCGAGGAAATCCTACCATTAAAGTAGAGTTGAATTGACTCTATAGAGGTAGTGCAAGCTATAATCCCCATATACCAAAGGTGTCAGGAGGATCATTCGCGTTCGTATTGCGCTCTTATTCGTATGACTATATTTGTAAATTGGTGGAAATGCTACAATGTTGAATGCGCTTGTGAACGGACTCGGATTTGATAACTGTCCATTTTAAAAAATGCCTATTCGTGATATTTTTTCGTTTGTTCATTAATATTATAAATATAAGAACAAGTCATTTACTGCTAGCAGGTAAACCATTCATTTTACAAAGTGAAATTTAGAATACTAATACATTACGTACATGGATATGGCTTTGGAAGGGGTCAGATGTTATACTCGTGCTCGGAGGTAAGAATCACGACCAATGATGTAGTAATAAACATAGTCATTTCCCGTTCTACAATATCAACAGCCGTAAAGGAAAGAGGAAAAAAGTCTTAAACGTACCTAATTGTACGCATTCCACGCAAGAATAGGTCTAAATACCAATAAAAAATTCACGCAGGATTGTAAAATTCACAATGGACAAAGAGTGAAAAGAAACAGATATTAAGTTAATTAATGGACAAACGAAAATGTTTCATAGACAGGCACTTTCAGAATAGACAAATATGATTTATTTCTATTTCTTTTTATTTGATGGTAACGAAGTCGTTCAAATCTGTTCAACTTGGGGCATGATGATGAGCAAAAAAAAACAAAAAAAACACGCGACTTAACTAATTAATGAATAAATATTAGCTGTAAAATTCTTTTGAATCTGCAAGTTTGGGCGCTAATTTTGATTTGATTCCTTTAAGTCACACGCTCAATCTTTTTTTTTTTTTTGGCTGCACCTTTTTTCACACCTAAGAGGTTTTTGATTATATATCATGACTTTTTGTCAACATACCAACAAACCACAGCAAGTAAGAAAGTGACACTCGATAATAACCAACATTATATTTAGGATCGTAATCCTGTTATTCGGAATTGACCTTTACTTTACAGACTCAACCAGATTCTTTAAAATATATGATGGTAGTTTTCCTCTTAAAAACAGTATTAATAATTTCTTTTTGTAGTAAAGCCATGGAATTTAGATTAACAGTGTCTTGTCATCACCCCTATGCAATCGGTATAGCCGTATCAAGCATCACTATTTATGCTAATTGCTTAAGCTAATATCACGCGACGCTAAACGCTCTTTAATTGAGATAATTTCATAAAATTTAGTAAATTTGTGCTGAAAAGTTGGCAATGAATAATCAATAATAACCGTCCACATGTATGATTCTTTTGAAAACTTGAGCTAGAAACTGCTAATCTAGTTTGCTTGGCCTAACCATATAGTTTTGCTGCCTCTAAATCAGCCGCATTTAATCCGAATGACAAAACTAAAAACAGTATACTTTTACTTTTAGGTGAAGCTGTGGTCAAAAGTTTAGCTCACGTGACTTTTTGCGTAGACGTGCGCAGAAATTTTGTTCAAAATTAAGCGGTTTTTGTTTAATAACTTTGCACATGTGGCTTATATTTAGTCCAAATTTGACACCTAGTTGTAGTGTACCAAACTGGATAAAATCCATGAAAGTTAAGTATCAAATAGTGTCCGTATGTTCAATACGAAGAAAATAGAAAAAAGGAAGAACTTCAATCAAAATTGGAGATTTTATATCTCGTGTATTTCTTAACGGAATTTAGTAGGTGAAGCTGTTAATAACATACAGTGTGTCATGATATCAAAATACCAATGAACATTGTTTCGAAATTATCCTTATGCACACATTAACTTACTCTAATAACATAAGAATTACGTTACTTCGACTATTGATAGAACCAGCGAATTTCCTCTGAAACACTCCTGCGTCCGTTTCAGATTGTTAAATCACAAATATATGTGTGCTCTGTTCCAGACTGAACCCCGCCCTTCAAAAAAATTCTATATCCGCGCCTGACTGTAATTAAAACTTGAAATTGAATTGTCTAATTTGTCTTCTGTAAAAACTTATCAGGCTAGTTGTCGTTAATAATTACTGTCATTTCCTGAAATAATATTAATCCGATGATAGCTTGGTAGATCTAAAGCCTGAAATGCTACTTTATTTGTTTGTATTATGAACTAGTGTGAGTAGGCCCGCTTGAAGTCTTCATCTCCAGTCCTCGTAGGCTCTTAATCCGGCCCTGCATACCATTTGATTTGTTTATAACTTAAACGTTATATGTTTGAGATGTTAAATCCTGACACAACAAACATCTGGAACAAACGCATAAGGTGCACTTAAATTTTGTAACTAAAAACCCTTTTTATTTCTGAAACGTTTTAAAGTCTGGAAATGACATTTCACTGTAAAAGCTTTCTGATGTAGATTGTGAACGAAGTTAATATTGGAACTAGATAAATAAGTGATTAAACATGATTTAGTGTTATTTTGTAATAAAAAGTAATACTCACATAGTTTTCGTGAGCACATTCGTAAACCTGAAAGATCAAGAATATTGTGAATTCCAAATAAAACATTTTTTACAGTTTATAACGAATGAGTTGTAGTCGAAGTGATTATCATAATTAGACAGACAATTTTATATAATATTAGAAGCGGAAACTCATTACTCACATTCAGTATAATAACAGCATATAAGATAAGAGAATTATTAAATGGTAAAATATTCCTGATAATGATAATTGTAAATGAACAATCAAATGCAGAACGGGAGTAAACAATATTATTACTTTTACTGCACCATGTATATATATATATATATACAGTAATTGTTTTTTTATTATATTTTATCAACTGACACCGAAGAAGAAGAATCAAACTATATCTAAATTAGTGATGAGATGAGATATGATCAATATTGTATTGCAAAACAATGATAAAAATATCTTATAAATTACTTTTCTCTAACAAATATAATTATTTAATTAACCCAAAAATTATATACGACTATTAACGCATTCATTCCAAAGCTTACCTCATCCCATTTAGCGCACAAAGCTTGTTCTGTTACAGCATTATTCTTGGTCCTGCATTCTGAAAACATTTCTTGATACTAAAATAAATGAAAAAAAGTGTAACAAATCAATTTCATAAACAGGAAAGGTTCGCTTAATAAGAATTTCACTGAGAAGTTTTATCTTACTCTTTTGTTATCAGATAAATCAAGCTAAGTAATTTACATTTCGTCATGAACCCCGTACTCTAATGTTAATCCCCAATAAAGTCTATATTTCTCTCTGAAAAACAAATCTGCTAATTATCTTTAATAACATTTATGGTTTATAATATTAACAACAAATTATACTGGACAATCTAAAAATAATCTGTAACATGATCAAAAAATAAATTCTTACTAAACATATTTTACAATAGTTCATTTTTTTTGTTTTTTGTCAATAAGCGTTATATTGAAGTGAATAATACAACAACAACAACAAAAAAATGTACAAAATTAAATACATATAAGCAAAATAAAAATATCACTTTGACTTGGGGAAATATGAGTATATCATCTGGAAACTCACCTCCTGAGGTTCGAGAGCTATACATCCTCTCATGGCATTGGCGGCATTAGAATTGGCTTCTGTTAACAAAAGAAACAACTAATTTAATTGAAAGCTCAAATACGGCTTTGAACAACTGTTGAAGAAACCAGAAACTTGACATTCTAATGCTGTTCGCAAAATATAAGAAGAATATAAATAATTAATCACGTTTTCTTGTTTTAGTATTAAAACTGGAAGTTAGACATCTTTGTATTTTTATTAGAAACATAAACGTAAAATTAGGTTAATGGCAAGATTGTCGAAACAAAGGAAGTGTTCTTCTTGAAACTTGCTCATAATAACAACAAAAAAAGGCATAACCACTTACATTCCCGTTAATAAACCATACTAAAGCATCAACAAAAAATAAAAACACGTTAAATGAGGTATTTAGTAAGAAAAAATATGATTTTTAAGGTTTTCTTTTTCTAAATACACGATGCAAAACAAATTATATTACTTTTATATATATATAAACAAGTCAAACCAATAACATCTATTTTGTAATGTAACTTTGGAACATCAACACATATTCAGCGAGAAACACTTACTACATAACAATTCAAAAATTTTTTCATCATCATGACCAAATACGCCGACAAGGACGCTTAGCAGAACTGTTATAGCAATAACTTTCATTGTTGGAAAATATAATGCTAGCTGACAAACAAGATTGGTGGTCTATACATTTTATTTCGATGTACTAACTTTATATTAACTAAGGAACTTTGTTTACAAATAGATAAGTCCTAGTCACGTGAAAGATTTGGAAACCACCAATCCACAGCAAACAATCTCCTTTCTATTATTGGATGAACCCTTTCAAAACCGACGATTACGGAAACACTGACTATGTTTCCCAGATGGTCTTGTCGAGTGAAGTAACCTTTTCTCTGAAAAGGTAGGCGTGGAAGTTTATTCTATGTGCAGAGTTCCGTTTTAAAAGCAGAGGAAGAAACCTGTTTTGTTTGGCATGAAAGCAACAGGAAGAACATTAAATGTATACATACACATATAGCTATAAAATTCAAGCAAATAATTACCCTATAATTAACACACGGCAGTATCATCAGTAACACGCTTAATTGAGAGCGTTTTATAATAAAACATCTATAGTAAAAAATCAAACCTTCAAAAGCATAGTTTTAAAAGTAACCTGTTATGTCATTTAAAGCATACATGCATATACTTTTGGTCAAATAGCGCTAAACGTTAAGTTTCAATTGTTAAGTTATTTACAATCCTTCTTGATAATATTGGTGCAACATTTCTCAGCCTACAATTTCAACTCTGTTCACATTGAACGTAGCATATATAAATATCAGTTACACCTATTGTGATGTGCTTTTTAATACTTAGAACATATTATTACAAGTCTGTCTTGATGTCACTAGGTGGAAATTTAGCCCTTTTAATGATTTTTGTTGTCATTATGTATGGCTACAGCCGGAACAATGTAAGATGTCTGTCTTGATGTCACCAGGTGGAAATTTAGCCCTTTTAATGATTTTTTGTTGTCATTATGTATGGCTACAGCCGGAACAATGTAAGATTTCTTAGTATATTTCACATGGTAACAGTAATCGTAAATGTATTACTTAATATGAACTTTGAACTAATATAGCATCAAGTTTGAATAATCGACTAAACATTTTCAAACGCTTAATACAACATGTGTGAAAATGGTTCTTTATAGCTTTGTAGGTATAGTGCTATAGGTGTATAGACTAAACTGCCAGTAGGCAAACTTGATCAGCTTCAGTGATCAAGTGAGTAAGCAATTGACATTTAAGTGAGCACAGGGTATGTTGTTGTTTCAGAGCAAAGCCACATTGAGTTAACTTGCTTTGTCCACGGTGGGGAATCGAACTACACGTTTTAGCTTTGTAAATCCGCAAACTTACCGCTGACTCACTGGTTAAGAAGGCTATCCTTGCTAAATTAAAATACTCATGTTTGAAATTGTAATGAACTGTACCTCCGGTATATTTATTTTTTATATTAAGAATAAATTATGTTATTTGATACATCATGTCAAAAACAACATAGGAAATCAATGCAGTAAGGCTGTAAAGGAAAAATAAAATTAGTTAAATTTTAAGGCAATGCAAATACAAAAAATAGAAATATTGATACATAACTGAAATATTCCCATGACGAGCAGAACAATTATTTTTTAATTTGGCCCGGGCTTCAAGTTCAAAGAGGGTCTCAAATTTAGACATTATTTTTTTGCATTTGTTATGTTTCGCGACTTGTTTTAATGAGCCTTTCAATCAGACCAAAATGTGACATACACTCTCAGCCTTGAACTGGAAATTGTATATATATATACGGATTAAATATTAAAATTATGTTTCACTTTTCTTTTGGGTTAATGGTTGTCATATTTTGTTTTCATATGTCATCATTTTTTTATTATAGCCAGGGGCCTCAAAAGATAGAAGTGGCCTGGGTCTCTCTGAACTTCTCAGAGGGCCTGGTTCTACCCCTGCATGGGCTAACAGGTGTATCCAAGTGATGGTCTTAAGATCTTAAAATGCAATTTCTTTCGTTTCTGCCATCTATCAAAACATCTACCACTTAGTCAGTTGCAAATATTACGTTAGTGGCACTGTATTTGTGATTCATTGCTTTCAGAAATCCAGAGGATAGCTTGTTTCATATGTTTTAACACCATTCTTGTGCTCCAGAAGACAATGAATGCCTAATCAGCTTTCCCAATATCTTTGATGTAGGAACCATCTGTGGCTATGATGACAGGTGATTGTCCACCATGGTCTTTAAACAGATGCTGCCATGCTTTTTCCGTTTAATCCTCTATTCAATTTTTACATTATGCTTAGGGTGACTTTCACAGAGCCCAGTAGCATCAAATGTTTATTATACATGGAGAAATCTGAGACCTGGTGGTGATACATTACCTCACTAGTGTATATATCGTATATGTAGACCAATGACTGTATTTTGAAATGCCTTTTAGATAATCTCCTGTGTGGGCAGTCATTGGAAGGTCGTTGTGGAGCTAGAATGTCCCAAGTGAAAAGGACAGACACTCATTAATGGAATGTATGGTCTTTACACTGGAAGGCATTTGTGAAGAATTTTATTGTAAGCACTATTGGTGTTCTGTAATGTTGTTGATGCCTCTGAGGTTTGATAGGGCTTTGATGGAGTGGTTGTGATACATCCTGTGATTGCTTAACCAGTAGTTGTGTATCTTTTCAATTTCATTAAGCTTTGGAGCACTCATAACCCAAAATACCTGATAGGAATTTAGATGAGAACGAATTGACAATCAACTTTAAAAAGTCTGTCGCCGAGAAGTAAACATCTGAGGTGCTCGAAGATAGATTTATCTTTCTTCGCCCTGCAAGAGGTGATTATTGTTTATCTAGAGATTAAGTACATTAAGAGGTAATTTTGGGCGTTATAATAATAAGATTTTAATGCATGAGGTAGGTGAGATAAGCGTGGAGTGAGGTGAAGGAGGCAAAGTTTCCGGCAAGGTTGATGAGTAGACGAGAATAAGCAGTACCACATTGACAAACCATCAACAAACGGACCTTTTCTATGCCTGGCAGGGATCTGTAAATCCAAATGCCATGGCTGGGATCTATAGATCCGATGCCTACAATTTAAGTATTGGAGGGGGGGGGAACGGGAGAACCCCGAGAAAACCCACTTTCACTGAACGGGACCAAATTAAAGCCCATTCAGTGCCAAAATAAAGTGCAGACTGGAGTTGTGATGTGAAGCGATAAAACCCAACAATACACGAATATGGTTAGACATTGGATAATTTAATTAGAATTAGTTTGTGTGGATGTCGTATGGCGAAATGTATCTTATACAGGTAAGGGGGGTAGCTGCTATAGAAGGGAAGTGTGTAGTGAGAGAGTTACAGTTTACGGCTTTATTATAGTAAGTTTCAGTTAATTTGAGTAGTCTAGACTTGATGTGGGGTAGCTCCGACTGGTTCTCAATGTAGTGGGAAGGCGTGTATTATGGGAGATGGCATGCTAGTCTTGATACTTGGTTTTGGACTTTTTGTAATTTAGAGAACTGTGTTTCGCACTCACAATGATTATTGTCAGTGCATAATCTAGGATGGAGCATATAAAACTTTTGTACAGCATAAGCAGGTGACGCACTTCAACTTTCTTTTATGTTGGTTACAAAACTCAGTTTACTGATGCCTTTGTTTGTTCTGGTTGGGTTGTCCAAGGCGAGCTAGATCCATGTTGTAGATGTTCAATAGGACTGGAAAGAGAGATGTTCCTTGAGGCAGACAATTTTTGATAGTGATCCAATCTGATTGGTAGTTTCTGTACTTCGTGAGGCATCTTCTGGTAGTTAGTGTATCCACAACGTATCATATTATGTTACACTGATACTGATTTTTAGCATTTTGTCAGCAACAATGTGCATCTGAATTCTATTGTAAACGTCTCCTAGATATGAAGATAATGACAAGATATTTTGACTAGCTTCAAACACTTCATATACATTAGGTCATCGAGAAATTAATGTCGCTTTTTTAGATGAAAAAACCCAAACAACTTATATATCAAAACAACACATTTATTAAATGAAATAGTCGATGATGTTTTTCCATCTTACAATCAGATTGTTAATGTCCTGATTAAAGAAATCACTTGGCTTTGAAGCAAAAAACATGTCGATGTACTCTTTAACCCCTTCCACATTTTCATACGTTTTCCCATTAAGATGGTGTTGCAGCGAACGAAAAAGATGGTAATCTGATGGTGCCGCATCTGGTGAATATGGTGGGTGGGGGAGAACTTCCCAACCCTACTCCATAATCTTCTATTGCGTCAAACGTGCTACATGTGGACGTGCATTGTCGTGGAGAAGAACACCTTTCCGATTGACGAGTGAAAGGCGTTTCTGATGAAGGGCTTGATTTAAACGTTCCAGTTGCTGACTATAGATCTCTGCATCACCGGTGACAATTCTGTCCAAAAATGGTTCACGCGCATTACGCGCCAAAAGAGACGAAGCAACGTTCACACGTTGGAAAGATGATCATCGGAAAGTTCGTGAGGCATCTAAACCATTTCTTTATGGGGTTTTCATAAATTCCTTAGATGCTTGCGTATTGTTTCATGAGAGACATGCTATTTCAGGGCCACTTCACGAGTGTGTTGCCTTGGGTTAGACTCAGCAAGCGTCTTTAGAGCATCAATATCAAATACAACATGTCGGCCCCTGCCATCACAGTTTTTAAGGCTAAAGTCACCTGAACGAAATTTGCTGAACCATCGTTGACACTTACGAACTTCAAAACATTTCCATAAACTTCTTTGATATTCTTTGTGGCTACAGAGGCATTGTTTCCCTTCTTGTATTCAAACAACATTACATGCCGAATGTGTGTCTCGTCGTGTGCCATCACTATAAGGGATTAGAGTACACTAAACTTTACACATTATATAGGCTACACTAACGTGATGTTTAGGTGGTTCGTTTAACTAATATACGTGATGTATGTTTTTTGGGGGGTGGTTAATGAAAGTGTTCCAAAGTGCAACATTAATTTCTTGACATCCTAATACTTAAGTATTTGTATATTTTACCCACTTACAGCAACCATATTACACCTGGTGAAAATACTTGATTTTTAGTATGTTGGGACATATCACTGAACAGGAAATTGGACCACCTAGATGAAAGAATTGCAAATAATGCCATCAGTGAAACAACATGCAGACTGAGGAAACTCGAAAAAGATAGATATCACATTTTTCAACTGGTAGAAATAAGTTGGAAATATGGAAGTGGAGTGAGTGAAAATATGCATGGGAAGAATAGATGCTACTTAAACTGATTTCAGGATTATAACTACAAGAACCTTGAGGAAATTAATATTACTGCAAAACTCTCCAAGCATAAAATAGTAGTAGAGGAAATATCAAATTTTATTCAGATTGGGTAACTAGTGTTAAAAAAATAAAAATTATAACAATAATATGTATACATAATAATTAATTAGGTATAAAGAAAATGTGGTGTCAGCCAGCTGCCTCCCTGTGGTTGGTGATTTGGAATCAATGACAACATAATGTCAACTGGATTGTGCAATGATGGGACTCCACATTTGAAGGGAGAAGATACTGTGCTTTTGGCTGGTGCTAATTCCTCTTGTGTGTGAATGAACATAATTACATTACTTGATTTTACATGATCCTTTAAAACTGTTAAACAAAAATTGATCCTCCAACCTATTTAGCCCCAGTATTTACCCACTCATCAATCCATGTAATTTACACAATATAAAGACTGAAGTTACCCACTAATATGATAATTCATCCACTTAACTCATACAGTGTCCATCCAAAATCAGACATATACCCATCTATTTGTCTTTATTAATCTATCAGTGCATTTTTATTTACCTACCAGCTATAGCTGTACACATTATAGTCATTCATTAACATCAGTACTGTCTTCTATGGTATAACACTGGGGAATGAATCCATGTTTTCTTTTCTATTGAATAAAATGGGATTTCTTTTTTATAGCACGATCTTATGCTCTTCTTGTATTTTTAAACACAAAACTCATATAAACAACTAAATATCATGTATTCATCTTTTACATTAAACTTGACTTCAATGAAAAGAAATTGGATGTTTTAAGTTTGGCAAGTAGGCAGATGTTGGTTAGCTTAATTGTTATCACATTTACTGTTATAGTGTAAATTAAATAGTATAAAGCCATCTTTCCAAACATATCATAGCACATTCAAAAAGATTACTGAAATAACAGGAAACAAGATATAATGTTATGAAACCATTAATAATAAGTACTTACTTTATGTCACAGAGTAATGCCATGCTTGTATGGGTAAAATTGTACATATAATAGAAGTTAAATATCTCTTGTATTTTTACAACAATTGGAAAATATCAAGTAATAGTCTCTTAATTGAAAAAATCTATCTCTTTCTTTGTACACTGCATTTTCAACAACACAAATCTTTTAAGTGTTAAAGTGCTATAAACAGAATACGCTTTACTAAAACTGATTCTAGTAATCATTATTTGAAAAGATTTTTGGTGTACAAAACTTGAAAATAGCTTTTATATGAGGAAACATCTATTAGCTGAGTTCTTGCACAGATTTTAAAATATAACATTGATAAATAGAAACATCGGCACATATAGATATGTAGATCTTGAAAGTCGAGTTGCTCAAAACTTGAAAATAGCATTGATAACTGGACCAATTGTTGGTTGAGATGTTGCAAAGGAAATATTTGCTGAAGCTTTTCGCCAGACACTACTCACACCATAACCGTCTGGAAAATGATCTATAGGAAATAGTACAGCTTATTAAATGAGTCAGATCAACGTAGGCCGGTAAGGCAATCACTGACTGGCAAGTCCTTAAGCCAATCAGGAAATGTCACAGACCTACTGAAGGATGTGTAGATTGTATAGGAATTCTTTTTGATGGCAAAGGACAGGTTTATGTGTTTTAATAAAGGTGGCTTCCAAAATATAGGTTGACAGACCATTTGCAATAATTTTAAACCTGCTATCCGTGAAGGTATATTTTACTTTTAAATAATTTAGTATGAAAATCATATCTACCTTTTTCTCTTTGCTTTAGTTTATTAAAATGAGCATTTCAAGTTTACCTAGAGTTTTCAAAATTGTTCACACATTCCCATTTTTAGCTATGTGAATATTTTTAAGAGTTTTGGTCAAGAAATATGCTAAGTTCCTTTCACTCTAGCTACCTATTGTTCTGGGAAATCCCCCTAAAATCTCACATGACTTTCTGAAAGGAAAGACTGATGTATAGTAGCACACACTATGTAAAGGAAGATATCTGGTTTCTTTCTTCACACTTGGTCATCTCCTGGTTATTGGACTGCTGTGAAGGCCCATGAGAACAATCTTACTACATCTACAAACTCAGAGAAGGGAATTTCGACAGCCTTAGACCTACACAGCTGCTGACTGAGTTCTATCCCTAAAGATTGTCTTTTCAGTGAATAGAAGGCATAGTCACCTGAAGGTTGTCATGGTGACTTATGGTCCGGAAAGACTGAATGGATCAGTTTCTATAGGACTCTCCAACATTTGATAACTAGGGTTTCTCACCTTAACTCTGGTCAATATCATTCAAGGAAAAAACTGAAAGAGATTGAAGATGACATTGATGAAGTATGTCCACAAGCCTGAACAGCACTGCCACAGAATTGTCAGTGCACTGACTGGAGAAGAGTGTGATACATATGCTAGTTATAAGCTTCTCCATGACTGGATGCATGCTGCTGTGTGACCACAGGTCATCAAAAAATCAAGAGTTTGGTAGAGCCCATGGATAAACTGCTTTCTTCATCTTATCCTTCTGCAGCACAAATGGAGGGACCTAACTTCTGTCCAAATGAAGGGGTCATTGAGCACATACTATAACACCATTTCTCTAATGTTTCGGGCATCTTATTGTAGTTTTGTCTAAGATTCTGTGATAGAGGAGCTGATACTGCAATGCCTAATGTTGAGTTTGGAAGTCTAAGCACTTGATTAATTATTTCAGCAAGGAACAACCAGGTTACTGGAATATTAGGTTCAAAAGAGGGGGTCTCAGAAACAACTTGGCCATTTAAGCAGATGATCTGCACCATCTACTCAGGAAAGCATAGGTCATTACAGCATCAGCAGATGACAAGCCTATCTTCCTGGATAAGTTTAGAGATGGACAACCATGCATAAGGATATGACATCATCTAGGAAAGAGATTTCTCACCCTAACAGAGAGTATCTGGAGCAACTCTGGTTAGAGGCTGTAACTTCAAACAGGTTATAGGAAAAAAGTACACACACACACACACATTGGTAGTTATAACATGGTTCCCATGAGGCAGGAAATTGGGAAAGGTCAGTAAATTTCACGTAATTCAGTGATACTTCTAAAACATGGATGATGAAAAAATAATCATGAGCATAAAAAATTGCATAGAGGTTAATTCTGGTGTATTTTGCATGTTAACATGTGTATTTTATGCATAAATACTGTTTTGTCTATATCAGTTTTTCTTAGTCTACAATTAATTGTCATGAAGTATGGAATCAGCCACAACAGATTACGTAAATAGTAATTAGGTTTCTGCCTAAATGGTGTAAAGGCTCTGGATAAGGCTTTGCCTGTTTTTTTTTCCTAAACATCATGAAGGATAGTTTTATTACAGCTTAAAAACTCTTTAAGCAGATACTATTTAGAAATAGGCTGTTTTCACTAAATAAGTTATTTTTATCTTACAAATTTTAGTGCATTAATAAAACAAACTCCTTGCCAGTAGTCATAGATCGAACAGTAATACCCTAGGTATATTACGTCATTGATACTTCTACAGGAAAGATTTGAATGATGTCAAAACAAAAATGATTATTTTGTCAAAAACTGGCAGTTCAAGGATAGAACAAATCTATACACTTTAGGTTAATTTTTATTTTACTTCATATCTGTAGCTATATTCATTTAATTACATATTAAAAATAAGTATAATAATCCTATAACATCAATTTAGGTAATTTTGTTTTAATTCATAATAAAACAGAACATACATCATTAAGCATTACCTGGTGCACACAAACACTGGTATGTAGTACAGCTTAGGCAGGAATAGTTGACAGACAATATCTCCAAGAGCCAGGTAGAATATCACTAGTGATAGTTTCAGAAAACCTGTATAAAGCAAAATAAGAATGACAATGTATAACATCGGTAATTTGGAGATACGTTTTGGAAAAAAACAACAACAAATTAACAAGTATTGAAATACAGAATGTTCCATTGACAGTAACTAATAATATGGCACAGTCAAGGGTTTCCAAAAATATGATGCTATTTGTTATCCATGAATCTTAACTTGTGCCAGTGAATAAATGAATACAACATGTTTACCTAATATTCTATAATTTAATAGATCATATATCTGAGTAATATATAAGTAAAATTTACTATTTATCAAGCAACAAACAAAGTGGTAAAGACAGAAAGGAATAAAGATTGAAGGTAAAGATATTGCATATGCAGCATGACAGAATTGCATTAATAGTTTTGATACTGTTTTCAAACTATGGGCTTAATATTGAGATATTAATTACTATGGAGACTGTTTAGTGCTATGATGATGGAGTACTGTTATTGTGTCTAGATCCAAGGTCCACATCAGAATAAAAGTAAGGCGAGTGGTTTTAGTAAAAGTTTTACTTAGTAGAAGATTTTAGTTAACATAATAAGCACCATTATGTAAAAACAAAATTAAAAACTAGATACTTAAGTGGTATAGTGCTGTAATGCAAAGTCACTGTCAGTGATGAACATGTTTACGTACAGTAACGTTCATGTTTGTGCCAGTTATTGTAGCTCATACAAGCACAATAGTAGATCATCATGATGTAAGATTATAATGCAATTACAAACACTGTGTATGATTTATTAGCAGGTATGATTCTGTGTATTAAGTGTTCTGTATTTACAATTAGAACTTACGTCACAGTCATTTGTAAATATAATCTGGCAATCTTGTGAACAAGCAACACTTGCATAAAGCTGAAAATATTTTCAGTAATGTAATCAATTCATAAATATATAATTGTGTTCAATCAAAGATTTCAATATCTTGATATGCACATATTCAAAGAACATGTGGAAATAATACAACGTGCTCTGGATTAGTGGATAATTTTGTTAATATGTACAATTGTTTTATAGATATTGTTTGTTTCTTTTGAAATTTGTACAAACCTACAC